ACTACTGGCCAACCATCAGTTGTAACAACAGGCCCACCATCTGTAATTTCTACAGCTCAACCAACAGGTATAACAACAGGCCAAGCATCAGTTGTAACTACTTCTCAACCATCAATAGCTACCAGCCATCCATCAGTTGTAACAACAGGCCAGCCATCTGGTGTAATTACAACAGGTCAACCATCGGTTGTTACAACAGCTCAATCACCAATAACTACTGGCCAGCCATCAGTTGTGACAACAGGCCAACCGTCTGTAGTTACTACAGCTCAACCAACAGGCATAACGACAGGTCCACCATTAGTTGTAACTACTGCTCCACCACCAATAACTACTGGCCAGCCATCAGTTGTAACAACAGGCTCACCATCTGTATTTACTACGTCTCGACCTACAGTTACAACAGGTCAACCATTAGTTGTAACCACACGTCAACCCTCAGTTGTTACTACAGCTCAACCTACAGTTACAACAGGTCAACCATCAGTTGGAACTACAGGCCAAACGTCTGTAGTTACTACAGCTAAACCAACAGGTATAACAACAACAGGCCAAACATATGTTGCAACTACTGCTCAACCACCAATATCGACTGGCCAACCATCAGTTGTAACAACAGGCCAACCATCTATAGTTACTACACCTCAACCTGCAGTTACAACAGGACAACCATCAGTTGTTACTACTGCTCAACCGCCAATAACTACAGGCCAACCACCAGTTGTAACAACAGGCCAACCATCTTTAGTCACTACAGCTGCACCAACAGGTATAACAACAGGTCAAACATTAGTTGCAACAACAGGCCAACCATCTGGCATAACTACAGCTCAACCTACACTTACTACAGGTCAACCATCAGTTGCTAGTACAGCTCAACCGCCAATAACTACTGGCCAGCCATCAGCTGCAACAACAGGTCAAACGTCAGTTGTTACTACAGCTCAACCACCAATAACTACTGGCCAGCCATCAGTTGTAACAACAGGCTCACCATCTGTAATTACTACGGCTCAAATTACAGTTACAACAGGTCAACCATCAGTTGTAACCACAGGTCAACCATCAGTTATTACTACAGCTGAACCAACAGGTATAACTACAGGCCAACCATCAGTTGTAACTACAGCTCAATCGCCAATGACTACTGGTCAACCATCAGTTGTAACAACAGGCCAACCTTCAGTTGTAACAACAGGTCAACCATCAGTTGTTACTACAGTTCAACCACCAATAACTACTAGCCAACCTTCTTCAGTTACTACAGCTCAACCAACAGGTATATCAACAGGCCAACCATCAGTTATTACTACAGCTCAACCACCAATAACTACTGGCCAACCATCAATTGTGACAACCAGCCAATCGTCTGTAGCTACTACAGTTGAACAAGCAGGTATAACAACAAGTCAAACATCAGTTGTAACAACAGGCCAACCATCAGGTGTAACTACAACTCAACCTACAGTTGCAACAGGTCAACCATCAGTTGTTACTACTATTCAACCACCAACTACTGGCCAACCATCAGTTACAACAGGTCCACCATCTGTAATTACTACAGCTCAGCCAACAGGTATAACAACAAAAGGCCAAACATCAGTTGTAACTACTGCTCAACCACCAATTACTACTGGCCAACCATCAGTTTTAACAACAGGTGAACCATCAGTTGTTACTACAGCTCAACAACCAATAACTACTGGCCAACCATCAGTTGTGACAACAGGCCAACCGTCTGTATTTACTACAGCTCAACCTACAGGTATAACAACAGGTCAACCATCAGTTATTACTACCGCTCAACCATTAATAACTACTGGACAACCGTCAATTGTTACAACAGGCCAACCGCCTGTAGTTACTACGGCTGAACCAACAGGTAGAACTACAGGCCAACCATCAGTTGTAACAACAGGCCAACCACCTGTAGTTACTACAGCTCAACCAGCAGGTATAACAACAGGCCAATCATCAGTTGTAACTACAGCTCAACCACCAATAACCACTGGGCAAACGTCAGTTGTAACAACAGGACATCCATCACTTGTTACTACAGGTCAACCACCAATAACTACTGGCCAACCATCAGTTATAACAACTGGTCAACCATCAGTTGTTACTACAGCTCAACTATCAGTAACTACTGGCCAGCCATCAGCTGTAACAAGTCCACCATCTGTAATTACTACAGCTCAACCAACAGGTATAACAACAATAGGCCAAACATCAGTCGTAACTACTGCTCAACCACCAATTACTACTGGCCAACCATCAGTTGTAACAACAGGCCAACCGTCTGTAGTTACTACTGCTCAACCAACAGGCATAACGACAGGTCAACCATCAGTTATTACTACAGCTCAACCATTGATAACTACTGGCCAACCATCAATTGTGACAACAGGTCAACCATCTGCTATATCCACAGCTCATCCTACTGCTGTGACAACAGGACAACAATCCGTTGTGACTACAGCTCCATTTGGAACTACATCAATCTTACATCTTACTCAAAGTACAGAAATAGCTATATTTACAGCTGCAGTAACTACAGCTTCTCCGACTACAGTTCAACCATCTGTCATAACAACAGCTCAACCAACAGTTCAGACAACCGGCCAACCATCTTATGTAACAACCGGTGAACCAAAAATTACTACAACTGAAGGTTTGATTTTTGTCTCTGAATATCATTGTTTCTAAAGATTTTGTGAATAATTAAACTGAATTAAATTGGAATTGCTTTCAGAGCAGTTTGCCTATCGTTTTCCTAACTACTTTATATTTTATACATTACCTAATAGTCACTGCCGCATGTTTTAAATATAAAGTCTATTTGCTCAAAGCTGACCCTCTGTTTTTTTTTAAATCTGCTATTAATCAAATGGTTTACTGAGTATAGATATTTATAGTTGCATTTTTCCACTAAAGTAAAACCTAAAAAGGATCAAATATTTTGTTAACTTCCAACCAGAAACAGATTGAAGATAATTGGTTTTGCTGATTTACAGACACTTTACTACAAAAATTCTTACATTGATTACCAACCAGTTTAAGGGCCTATGCAAAGGAATAGTGTATAGTAAAAATATTATTTAAATTTTTACTAATAGACAGTGATTTTTGGTATCATACAGTGTTTTGAATTGTACAGTTAGTTATAAGAAACTTAAAATATTGTTAGCTTAGAGCAGTTGACTAACGTATTCTTGACTACTTTATATTTACAAATTTACATATTAAGCAACTTAAAATATTTTATTATTTAGCAGTGCATTTTTAATCTAAATTAAGTACAAATGTCATACATCTAATAATTATATCATTAGATTCAAACACTGTATTATATTATTGCCTTAGACTTTAGAATGCACAGATTTATCTTAAAATAATATAAACTGTACACTAAATGAAGTTACACTATCATATGAGGTATGCTTGAAAAAAATTGGATGATAGTAGCAATGATTGAGCTTTGAATTGTTGTAACTTCACTAAATTTGTTGATAGTAGATTATATTTACTATGGAATAAATAATTTACATGACAGTTTTGAAAATTTTTTTTCTTCACTGAAGTTGCTCAGAGGACAATGGTAACAACCATGTTTGGAACAGTACCTACTACATGTGCTGCCAGGCAGTTCCGTTGTGGAAGTGGGGAGTGTATTGAGTCTGATAGACTTTGTAACAGAGTTCAAGATTGCTCTGACTATTCTGATGAAATAGGATGTGGTATGGTGTTTGTTTTATTTCTCCCATATATATAATGTATGATAGATTTACACACACACACACACACACACGCACACACACACACACACACACACCCACACACACACACACACACATATATATATATATATATATATACCTTTATTCCTTTATTCGGCTCTTAAGGGGAAACTCTTTTGTCTATAATTTCGCCTTAACGTCGTTTAAGTTTCCCCTTAGCGACACTACTTTCGCCTTAACGTACTGTTTTTAACCCTTTTCATTGTTTTAGTTTCCCCCTATGGATAGATCTAAGCTGTTATATATATAT